CTCTCTCTCTTTCTCTCTCTCTTTCTCTCTCTCTCTCGTTCTCTTTCTCTCTCTCTCTCTTCTGCCTCTCTCTCTCTCTCACTCTCTCTTTCTTCTCTCTGTCTTTTCGTGTGTATCTTTCTCTCTCTCTATCTGTTTTTTGTTGTGAGTTACTCTTTCCGTGCTCTAAATGACCGTTATTGTGCCAATGTTCTTTTTTAAAACACAAAACTTCATTCGGATGAGTCAATGTGGTACTTGACGACCCAACTCTCGACGTTGTTGCTTTCCGGTGTGAAGGTCAAGTGTGCCACACTGACCAATTCGGCGGATCATTTGCGATGTGTGATCCTATTTGTGGGTTGTGCTCTCTTACCCCTCTCCGTGGGTGGTTGGCGGGTGCTCTGATGTGGGTTGCTCCTTCTTTCCTATTTAAAAAATCTATCGTCTCTATCCCCCCTCCTTCTTGTTTGTGTTTGTTACTCTCTTGTAACACCTCTCGTCTTTGGCACTTATTTGACCTTATTGTGTTGCAAGTGCCGTAAAACTTTTACTAAAAGAAAAATACCCCTACCCTGTTTACAGGTCAACTTCTTTACTATCCCTCTTTTGTTTGTATCTCTGTCTTCTTGCTATGTTGCGCAGCCTTGAATGACCGATGTAGTGTCGATATAGGCTACTTTCTTAACTCAAACAAGCAAAGGTTATGTCATGAAAAGTGACGGGGCAACCGGTTTTCTCTCTGATAAGCTATTTATAAAGGGCAAAGGAGTTGTGTGTATGTGTTTGTCTTTACTTGAGTCAGTTCGTTTTACAGAAAACATTGTGGGTGGTTCGCTGGTGCTCTGGTGTGGTTTGCTCCTTGTTTCCTATCAAATATATTATGTCGTCTTTTTCTCCCCTCCTTTTTTGTGTATGTTACTCTCTTGTAACACCTATAATCTTCGGCATTTATATGACCTTATTGTGTTGCAAGTGCCGTAAAACTCTTACAAAAACGTCTTTAAAAAACTATGCCAAATTGTTCCACCGCGGACACTGACCACCGTTTTGTTTCGTCCGTCCACAGAAAAACTCCTGAACTCCACGGGACGAGAGCTGAGACGGGCCCTGTTTTCTCTCAAGCAAATCTTCCAGGTGAGTCGTGGTGTGTGTTGTGAGTTTCATGTCTGGTCTTGTCCTCTTATCTCAGGTGAGTGGTGTGTTTTCACAATCTAATTGGCAGGTGGTTGTGGGCGCTGGTGGAAAGTCTCGCTTTTATTTTCGCTTTTTTTTCCCCTCTGTCGTTTTTGGCAGTCTCCGTTGCTTTAGTGGACGGCATTGAAGGCCATTGTTGATCTGTTCTTGTCTTAACCCTATCCGTACGTCGTGTTTTACTATCGTATCCATACGACGTGGGGAACTCTGTGCCAACATTTTCCAAAGAGGAAATTTACTTGTTAATCCGATCCGTACGCTTTGCATAGCGGTCTGTCAAAATGATTTTTGAAAAATACTGAAAGTTTCAAAGAGATCTTCGCACTAGAAGTATTCTAAAATGTGAAGAATACAACCTGGGGGTACAAAATGACCCCAGGGTGTACGGATAGGGTTAAGCTTTATGCTTTGGTTTAGGTTATCTCGGGAGATAATGGGGTTGGGGAGGGAGACGTAGTTGATTGGATGTTGAGGGTAGCTTGGTTTGAGGGAAAAAAAAGGGGGGGGGGATGGTAGCCATAGAGGATAACAGGTTGGTCTGAAATAGATAAAACTCATCTCTCCCCGAGATTCCCTTGTCCTTTACGCGCCTGTACTCGTCGGTTTTTATCAGCGACTAAATAAATGCAAGTTCTCAGATCTCGTGTCACTGTCACATCACACCTCTGCGTGTTACATGTGTTGTTGTTGGTGTTGTTTTGTTTTGTTTTGAGAACACACAGGGGTGTTGAACTTTAGCCAACATTGGCGTCACGGATCGAAAAACCATAATTTTTCCACACGTTGAAGAAAAAAGTTTAAACGTTGACCGTTTCAATTACGTGATACTGCATTTGCCCTTCCGTCATGTGCTGTCTTTGCCGTATCTGATTCCGACTGCTAGTAACATAGATGCCACCCCTTATTGTGTTGCAAGTGCCGTAAAACTCTTACTAAACCAATAGATGCCACCCTTTCCTTCAGAAAAAGAAGCGCAAATAATATTGACGGAGCCTGGGGTGGGCTGGGGGTGGGTTTTTTAAAGTGAGCCAAGAACAATGCTCCCAAAAATACATTCATTCATGTTACTGAGGTCTTATTAAATGATTGAATGTGTTTTGGGAAGGTTTGGTTAAGTTTCTTCCTCACGCACTTGTTATAACTTCAAGCCGTGGTCCAAAGGTGTGTCTCCGTCTTTCATGTCCTTTACGACTTGCCCTTCCTTCTGCACTGAGCTGTGTTTGAAGAATAATAATAATATACTGACAGAAGTTATTGTCGGATGTTGTTTGTTTTGTGCTCAGGGATGTTGTCGTCAAAGAAAGTTTCTGTCAGCGTAAGGAGTTATGATTGTTAGGCTATTTGCCGTTTCTATGAATTGTTTTAATTTTCTTGTTTTTCTTTTTGTTTCGAAGTTTTTATTTTTGCTTTGTTTCATAGTTGTAATTCTCTCTTTTTCTTCTTCTTTTTTGGTTTTTTTTTTTTATTTGGGTTTGTTATTGTTTTGTTTTTGGAGGGGGTTGTTGTTTTTATTTTATTTTATTTTTTGTAGTTTTTTTTTATAGTTTTTTTTTTTTGGGGGGGGGGTTGTTTGTTGTTGGGTTTTTTTTTTTGGGGGGGGGGGTTCTGCATGTGTTTTGTTAGAACGTGGCTGTGATGTGGAAACAGATGTTTGGTCATGTCTCGGCCAGCTTTGCCTCAGCACTCAATCAAGGAAATGTCCGCAGGGTTACAATAAAATCGTGCACTTCTGTCCTTTCCTGTTGTACTGTCAGATGGGGTTGAGCGAAGGTACGTTGATGAGATTGTCGTCGACGTCGAGTTTGTTTTGGTTTTTGTTGGATTTGTAAAAATAGTTTTTCTGATTTTTCTTTTTTACGTGGGTCCCTGCCTTAAAGTTTATTTCCAGGCGGGGGGCTGAAGGACGCTATTGGTAGGTCCTACTTCCTTTCTTTCCCTCAGTTGTTTCTGTCTATCCGTCTTGTTTTTTCCCTGTGCAATATAACCGTTATATTGTCGATGGGCTTCTCTTTACTCAAAGTCAAATCCTTTCCCGTTAAAAAAAAAAGCATAAACCATTATTGAAGCAGTATACAGGTGGGTGGTTGGCAGGTGCTCTGGTGTGGTTTGTTTCTTATTTCCTATCAAACATTTATCGTCCTTATCTCCCCTCCTCCTATTTTGTGTTTGTTACCCTCTTGTAACACCTCTCATCTTCGGCACTTATATGGCCTTATTGTGTTGCAAGCACCGTTAAAGCTCTACTAAAACAAAATATCAGTCTTGTTTCTTCCCTTTACGATATGACCGTTATATTGTCGATGGGCTTCTCTTTACTCAAAATCAAATCCTTTCCCGTTTAAAAGAAAAGCATAAACCCTTGATTGAAGCTGTAGGCCTATAAAGTCTGTTAGCTTTTCTACTTCTTCTTTTCAACGCGGTGGCCTTGACCTTGTCTTGACCAGCATCTGTGTGTGGCCAGTCTTTGTTGGCGTCTGTTTTACATCGTTGGACACCGACTCTGATGTCGTGTGAGGTCTGCCAGGAGGAAGTTCGGGGATGTTGACCTATCGATTAGCACTCATTGCCTCTCTGCTTGTCCTCTTTACCTTGAACTTGGGACTCGGGTGACCGCCTCTCTCATGTACAGAAGAAAGAAAGAAAGAAAGTCTCATGGGTGCCCTTGCCCGGAGCTTACTTTGGGAACTGGCTGGATTCGAAATATCTGAAAATATTTTGACGAAATATTCAGAAGGAAAATGTTCTCTGCCACAAATTCGGTCGAACTTTCAACTGTCAAGGGATTTTTATGGGGATCCATGAAATGACAATAAATTTGCAACAGCTTTTGCTTGGTTAAGACTCTCGGTTTCTTTTGATTTTGCGTACATCTACAGATATGTCAAGTGGTTTGACATGTCCTATATTAGCTGGTCTGAGTGCTCGGATAACATGGGGACACTGACCCTCACAATGTAAAGCTGTCCTCACCGTTTCGATCGTAGTGCCCTGGTTTGGATCTTGATAAGACACCATGTGGCCGGTAGACGTGTGACAGGAAAGCATTATGATGGTGTGTTACATGGTCTTGACCTCCCAGCGAAAAACGCTGTCATACAGATAGATTGCTAGACGTGTTCTTTCTTTCTTTTTTCTCTCTCTTTCTTTCTTTCTCTTTTTCTTTCTTTCTCTCTTTCTTTCTTTCTTTCTTTCTCTCTTTCTTTCTTTCTTTCTTTCCTTCCTTCTTTCGTTCTGTCTCGCTTTCTTTCTCTCTTAATTTTTTTTCATTTTGTTTATTTTTAGTTCCTTTTTGGGGGTGG